TGCAGTTCTGGGAGGTGATCAGCGACGAGCACGGCATCGACCCCACGGGCACCTACCACGGGGACAGCGACCTGCAGCTCGAGAGGATCAACGTCTACTACAATGAGGCTGCGGGTAGGTGCTGCTGCCCCCAGCCTGCCAGGCGTGTCTGGCAGAGGGGCCACCTCGCTGTGGCTGGCACGGCCCTGAGCGAGAGCGGCCAGAGCCTGCGAGAGGGCTTTGTTTCCTGAGCGGCTCCGCCTGTGCGACACAGCCAGCACGTCCCCGCCGGGAGCTGCCGCGGCTCTGTCGGGAGCGCGGTCGCTGTTGTGACCTTCCCCGGCTGCGGCCGCAGGGCTGTAACGCGGCTGCTGCTCCCTCCTTCCCTCCCCCAGGTAACAAGTACGTCCCCCGCGCCATCCTGGTCGACCTGGAGCCCGGCACCATGGACTCTGTGCGCTCTGGCCCCTTYGGGCAGATCTTCCGACCCGACAACTTTGTCTTTGGTAGGTGACGGTGCCCTGGGGCTCCCCGCTGGGTCCCCTGGGACACCTGCTGTGGGGGCGGCTCGGAGCTGGCACGTGATCCCTGTACCCCCTGCTCCCATGTGGGGTGGGATGTGGKGGACATGGGATGCTACGRGGTGGGATGTGGGGAASCCCAGGATGCCTCGTGTGCGGAGGGCAGCGAGGTGGTGGCACGTGCCCTGTGCTCTGCCTTGCAGGCCAGAGCGGGGCTGGCAACAACTGGGCCAAGGGCCACTACACAGAGGGAGCGGAGCTGGTGGACTCGGTGCTGGACGTGGTGAGGAAGGAGTCGGAGAGCTGCGACTGCCTGCAGGGCTTCCAGCTGACCCACTCGCTGGGCGGCGGCACGGGCTCGGGCATGGGCACGCTGCTCATCAGCAAGATCCGCGAGGAGTACCCCGACCGCATCATGAACACCTTCAGCGTCATGCCCTCGCCCAAGGTGTCGGACACGGTGGTGGAGCCCTACAACGCCACCCTCTCCGTGCACCAGCTGGTGGAGAACACGGACGAGACGTACTGCATCGACAACGAGGCCCTGTACGACATCTGCTTCCGCACGCTGAAGCTGACGACGCCCACGTACGGGGACCTCAACCACCTGGTGTCGGCCACCATGAGCGGCGTGACGACCTGCCTGCGCTTCCCCGGGCAGCTCAACGCCGACCTGCGCAAGCTGGCCGTCAACATGGTGCCTTTCCCGCGGCTGCACTTCTTCATGCCGGGCTTCGCGCCGCTCACGAGCCGCGGCAGCCAGCAGTACCGCGCCCTCACGGTGCCCGAGCTCACGCAGCAGATGTTTGACTCCAAGAACATGATGGCGGCCTGCGACCCGCGCCACGGGCGCTACCTCACGGTGGCGGCYATCTTCCGGGGCCGCATGTCCATGAAGGAGGTGGACGAGCAGATGCTCAACGTGCAGAACAAGAACAGCAGCTACTTTGTGGAGTGGATCCCCAACAACGTGAAGACGGCCGTCTGCGACATCCCGCCGCGCGGCCTCAAGATGTCGGCCACCTTCATCGGCAACAGCACGGCCATCCAGGAGCTCTTCAAGAGGATCTCGGAGCAGTTCACGGCCATGTTCCGCCGCAAGGCCTTCTTGCACTGGTACACGGGYGAGGGCATGGATGAGATGGAGTTCACGGAGGCCGAGAGCAACATGAACGACCTGGTCTCCGAGTACCAGCAGTACCAGGATGCCACTGCTGACGAGCAGGGTGAATTTGAAGAGGAAGGAGAGGAGGATGAGGCTTAAGTATCTTGTTAGGTGGACTTCATAAAGCACGCATGTGTACTGAATGACTTCTGATAGTGGTGGTGGTGAAGCATGTTCTCTAGTTGCCATGTACCCCGTTGTCCTCTCAGCACTTGTAACCTTGGAAGAATTCTTAATGTAACAGATCTGCTTTGAAGTTTATTACAATGTCTTTTTGTCTTTTAATGTTAAGATCACATAAAGGCATGTATTCTAGACAGTGTTTTATGTCTTTTTTTTAAATTTTTTAAAATATCTTGGTTGAATCACTAGAGGCCATTTGGCTAGTGTGATATGAAATAAGCTTAAAGGCATGTCAGAAATCCTGCAGCACAGCAGTGCTATGACCCACTGCAGCTCACTGTCTCCTCTTATGTTCTGAAATCCTGACTTTAGGCATGCAAGGGCTGTGCTCCACAGGCTCGCTGCATTCTCAGGTTGCTTATGCAAACCTGACATTCTTTCCTCTCTGACTCAAACCTATCGAACTCGAATCAAAATGGAAAAGCAATTAAAATGGCTAAACAGACAAAAGAAAACCACCTCTTTTGTAACTTATTTTAAGTTTCAGATCATGCTAAGAAGTCTTCTACTTGTCTGTTGAATTCTTCTGCGAAGCGCAGGTGTAGGTTATGCTTTCCTTCCGGCATCAGAAGGAACCTTAAAAGACAAAAATCAGGCTGTGAACAGGAGCTACATCTGTGAGTGCAGGTAATCAAGCTGGTGGCAATTTTTCCTTGCTCTTCTGTARCCAGGTATGAAGGAACTTGGTAGTATCCCAGCATATTTGTTGAAAGTTGTTAACTTAAGCTGTGAACTAACAACAGTTCAGCAGCAAGCACCCTGTTCCTTAATGGGGAGAATATTAAGTTTAAAACTTAAAAATTGTGATCTGTTCTCCTCTTGGTTTCTAGAACCCTTTTTGTTCGTCTGCCAGGAAGGTATTTCAGCATTCAGGTGAGTAGACTGTATCTTTTAAAGAGATGTGAAGTACCTGAACTATCTTGCCTCTTCCAGAGAACAACGGTTGTACTGGGCAGTGAGCAAGGCAATAATTGCAAAAATATTGGTGTTATTGTATCACTGCCTCAAGTAAATTACGCTTTGACTTTTTTTTCAACGTGTGCCTCTCCTTCACCCTTAAAGACACAACTGTCTCCTTCTCTGCTAAGACAAAGGAAGCAGGAAGAATTCTAACTTAAGCTTTAACAGATGTTTAGAGCTAGTATCTCTTCTGTAGAATAATAATACTGATGAGTGCAGTAAGGAGAAAATACAATTTTTTTTTTTTTTTTTTTTCCTCTATCTGGAAAAATACATATATGCCTCTGGCATATACTCCTAACACTTATTTATTTATTTTGTTCTATAAGGTTGGGAAATACTTCATAGGATTTTTGTTCTGTCAATTGCTGTAAATTTTCAGTAAACAATTTTAACTTACATTGTCCTATGTCCTATGTTGCCTTACTATCGTTCAATTTCTACTACAGCAAGTTTTTTTCTTTTTTTCCTTCAAATTTCAAAACATTTCTCTTAGTGATAAAGGTTGCTTTGTTTCAGGAAAAGAAAAGAAAAATCTGTGCTGTGTTACCATAGCCAGTTCCTCTAGTGCCCTTCTCTGATGTTCATTAAACTTGTCTCTTCAAAGAGAGTGAGCAGAACATAGATGCACAAGCCTACAGGGCTGCAGATGGTCCTCAGCTGCCTGTCAAGCCACTCTGAGAGCATTCAAGTATATCTGTACCATATAAACATAAAACAATGGCAATTCTCTTGCCATGACAGAAACAAGCAACGTATCTGTGCTCCAGTCAACACAACCTTCTATTTTACTATTAAAAAAAAAAAAAAAGCAACTAATTTGCTGTTAAATATATGCTAAATTTAAAGTTTTCTTTCTACTACCCAAAGGAGAACCTCAGCGCCAGTATAAGAAGAGAAGGGGAGCACATGGTTAAGTATTAAGCTGTGTATAATTTTCCGAAACATCATCACTAGCCTGATTTATTTTCTGATAAATATACGTAAGGGGAAAGTACTTCAGCATGAAGACATGGAAAGTATCACCCTTCTTTTCTTTTTTCCTTTGTACGACAGCTTTTAACGCTGCTTCCTTCTTGGTTTGTTTTCGAAAGAAAATCTTGTAGCTCTTTGTCTATCCCGGGTTTGTGATGATTTGCCTTCAGAGCTCGGTACCTGGAGCAGTTCAGTGAACACTAACAGGATGCCAGGTGTCCGAAGCGGGTGAGGTGGGAGMAACTAACTCACAGGTGTTAGAAAAACACCTGCCTGGGGCTGCTGGGAAGACTTCTTGTGCTCATCTCTCTTGTGGCAGAAAGTATTTTTATGAACAGGGCAGATGACTTGGAACCAAATACATTAGTGACATTTCACAGAGGTTCTACAAATAAAACAACTTTACCCTGTACTCATAAAACTGGGCTCTGTTCTCCTAAATCTCTTCTCCAGTGCTTATCCACTCTGAAATCTTGAATTTTATTTCAAATCTATGAAAAAAGATCAGCTGCTTAAGTTCCAGCTTTTTAGAAGTTCAGAAATGGAGTAGATATCTGCTACAAGATATTTCTCGTTTTTTCAAGTTGATCATTGTATTACTTTTCTCACATTACTTTTTTTAAATGCACAAAAAAAACCCCAGTCTTTGCCACCATTGTTCACAACCGCAGTACCCTGTGCTTCTCCTATTAACTGGGAATGCTGCTCCATTCCTAGCAGCTAAATGCTGCGTGCTAGGAGATGGGGGAAAACTAGATACCATGCAACAAAAGGAGTGCCAGAGCCAGGATGGAGAATTCGCTTGTTTGGCCAAATGTTAAGGAATGTTTCTGTGAACAGGTGGAAGGGGGCAAAGGACCTTATTTGGTTTCTCTTGGAGAACATGTGGAGCAAGCTTACTGAAGAAGAAAGGGACTATTTTTCTCAATGTAACTTACTAAGGACGTTCATAATTTTATCTGTGGCAGAAAGAGCTTGCCCAATGGCATTTTTCTTGTTGTTGTTGTTGCTAACACTGTGGCATCCACTTTTTCCCTTCTTTAGTTGTGTTTTGTAGATGAGCAGTGCTACATAACTCACCGAGAGCCTTTGATGTTCTCATGGATGTATTCCGCATGCGCGCGTGGAACCAAAGGGTCCTTCCCTCCATGAATTATAAATGTGGGACATTTAATGAGAGGCAGCAACTCTTGGCAGATATTACCTARGGAGAAAATAAATGAAGGTCACACTTCAAATTTAAATAGTATGAAAGACTGAAACTGATTCTGCAAAGGATTTTGAATGCCACCCCATCTCAAGCCATTAGCTCTCCTTGGTTATTCTAGAGAATTATATAACTATGATTGTAACAGCTCTTTCTTCAAAACACTATGCCAGTACTTCACTGACATGTGCTTCATTAACGGATACTAACTCAGATGGACAGTGGGTGAAGTATTTCTGGCCCACACTTTTTCCAAGGTTTATACTGACTAGTCCAGACAAATCCATACATTGCTTCCCTATCTTTATTCTTTCTGCTCTTAGAGTCTTATGGCTTCCATGGTTTATGTTCTGCTTTTTTACACTGGTTACCAGGCATCAAGTTGTAAGATTTGTTACTTTTACCAACAAGCTAACTTACTATGGTGGCTGTTCTAYTTTGAGTTCTTTGTTGCCTGTAATGTATAACCATATAATACAAATTATCCAAAAAGTATTCAGAATTATTCTTTTYGACTGTTCCTTTTATATAACATCGAGAATAATTTTATGCTTAGCAGGCCTTGATCTCATCAGAAGTAATTTTACTGCTTTTCCTTAAAAGCTTTTTATTCCTCTATCCCTCTTTCTTTCTCATCACCTAGTATCTCAGTTTCTATAGTCCTTGGCCAACGTKCCACACGCTCCCAAGAGAATTTGCAAGAAAACATACTGGATGAGTTTTAAGGTGCATTTTGAGCTAGCTTTATGTTCTGTTTGTAAATGTCTCCCTACAGTTACCAACACAGTTAATACGTATACATGCATACTGTCCTTAGCTCTTTAGTCAGTCACTGCTCTACAGAGCCTTCCAGTTGTTTGGCTTTGCATATCATCCCAGTTCGCAGTGCTGTCCATTAWCCAGTTTCTTTTGGAACACTTTGTCCATAAGCTTCAAAACTCTCCACAAATGTTGATGAAATTTCAGACCAAATACCAAGTAACCTTTTTACCTACGGCCATAGTTACCGGTTAGTATTTAGAAATAAACCTGTTTTGTGCTATAATCACTGGGTACTGCTTATTCCAGTAAGACAGCCTCACAAGGAAGTCTTGAACTTTGCAGCTTTAAGCAGCGTGTTCAGTTTCATTAAATGGTGACATCCTCTTAATATTTATTTCATTGAGCAGCTCACACTAAAAGCTGCTCCACTTAGGGCAAGAAATCTATTTCTAAAAAGAATTTGATGATGATGTTTTCGACAAAGATTTTGGTTTCTTCCTCTTAACTCTGATTTAGTATTCTAATCTGATGATTTTTAKTAAAGCCTTTTCTTCTATTCACAATTCACAACCTTTCCTGGGGCGTGACTTATATTGCCTTCCCCAAGCTAATCCTAGAAAACAAACAGGGACTGATAGTTTCTAACACTTCTCTCAGAAACTGTCAGGCTTCTCTCAATATCTGACCCAGTTACAGCATGTGGGTAATTCAGCTCCTCATTACATTTCTCCATGTGTTGTCTTTTTCACAAAGTCACTTCATTTCAGTATCTGAGGCAGACAGTAAAAGGACGTGACAGTAAGCGGCCTTTGGACCTCAGAATAAACTCATTTTAAGGAGATGCTTACCAGAAAATACAAAACAAAATCACATCATAATTTGTTACATTTCTCTGCTGGGAGAAATTCTAGTACCATGTTGCTGATCCATTGAAATCTGTGGAAAAATACCCAGCGAAATAATATCTTCTTTCTGTAGTACCTGCTGCCATTTAATGAATGTGACCTTTCATCTTCCATTATGACAGCTATGGGRAATGTACAAAAGAGCATTATAGACTCTTTGGTTTATGCAATATGCATTTCTGCTTCAGGTAAACTTAAAGCATTTTTTTTCTGAATTAAAACAGAACTGCAGATTATTATTCATGGTATCTTTGGCTGAAAAAGTCTATTACAGAAATCATCGGTGATAAGTATTTAATTAGGATTATTCTACATAGTTTAGTTCCTCTTTTTGTATTTTAAATACCTAAGCTGCAGCAGCAGGATTTTAAAAATATATTCGTTATTTTGAGTTCCAAAATTTGATCTTCCTCTTGATGAGGAAGTGATGATTTAATACTGTAGCTTTGTGGTGGAGCAAGGGGAGCGTATCTCCAGCTACAGCTTCCCATAACYGTGCTTTCTTCCTGTACCTTGCTGGTTTGTGGTGCATTTACAAATCGCTTTACTCATGAGTGTGAGTCAGACCYGGTTTTTAATACTTTTAATGCCATATGCCAAGTCCTTCATTTTCTGCTTGCTAGGAGTGCTGTTAAGAGAGATTTTTATCTAGACTTGTCTGCTACTGTATTTTTTTCTAGTTTATCACTGTAAAAGTCTTTCTTACCATCTGATTTTTCTGCAAAGCGACATATTCCATCTACCCAAGCCTCACAAGTTTTTGCAAAGTATTTATGTCCATACATCTCTTCCAATGGTTTCCTAACCTTTTCGCTCCACTTGGAAACATCTCGGATGCCTATAAAAAATAATATTGAAATATGTTAAGATATTTCCAGCAACCAGATATGCTTAGCCAGTACTGTAAGCTCCTAAAACAATACGAGTAAATTTTCAAAGCTGACTGAAAATACGTGTTTCAAAGTTGAGTTTACACTGAATACTTAACTCTGAATAAGGAAGGGGATGTAAAAAAAAAGAAGATAGTTTTAGTATCTCTGCTAAGTGTTTTTGCAAAAGACTACCTTGTTACTATGGTCATGAGGAGCTTAAAAAAATACCACAGGTCCAAGCCTGTCACTGCTGGTATTTCTTTATAGAGGTCTTGTTTTGCAACAAGAAGAGCTCAATGAGGTACATTCCTTATGGAAAAAAAGAACTCTTTTTATAACAGTGTGCCAGAATTGGCAATCCTTTTTTATATATCCTACAGCCTTTTGCTTTGGCTCCTGGATAGAAGTCCTCCCATGGTTCCTACCAGTATTCAGAAGAAGGAAGCTCTTACTAAGGCATTCCAGCAGGCTGACATCATGGCACATTTGCCATAGTCTTGGAGGAAAACAAGCAACTGTACTTAGTAGAGCCCAGTGACTCATGGCACGATGGCTAAAACTCTACAAATAATCTGCCATTCTGCTTTATTTATCAGGCTTATCTMTTTTCCCTTCCCAAAGTGTGAGCAGCACTAACAGTTGAGATACCTACCAGGGTCATGAAACTATATTTCACTTGTATGGCCTTGAGTCAGTAAACCCCCAAGTAACTCTGGCAGAGCAGAGAAGGTGAAAAGAGACTGCAAAGCACTGAATCATCAAACAGCAACGTCTACAGCTAGTGAGGTTTTTAATTGGTTTCAAATGGAAAGCAAGGGAAGAGAGGAGGAATGAAGTAGCTGGTGTGAAACAGAACCTGTCCGGCCCCAGGAGCGAGGCAGCAGTGAATGAAAGGGCTGTTTTACAGCAGCYTCTGTTGGGTAACCCCTGGCAAACAAGTCTGACCATTCCCTGCCAGCTTGTTACTGTGCAGCCCTTTCCCTTTGGGCATCCACCATCCTATCCTTGCAGCCAGGCTTACTCTGAACTGAACAGAGAATGAAGGCCCGATGCTGAAAGGGCACAGGGAGCAAAGCAGGATCCTTCTCTCCTAAGCAGCCCGAGATCACCATTCTTGCACGCTCTAACTACGGACCTTATAAAGTAAGACTTTATTTTTTAAGACTTCAGTTTGTTAGCAGAAGTTGACACACACAATTCATAATTGTTATGCAATAAAAACTCCATATATATTAGCATATAAAGAAATAATTTAGCACTTTTACACATCTTAAAAGCAATGTTTACTGTATTAAAAAAGAGTAAAAACAATAATAATACTACTATTTTCTAATGCAGGCGAGTGAACTGTACATGTAAAGTATTTACACTTGTAATTTAGCTGAAGCCAGACAAGATTCCACAACTGCTACAAATCACATTCCAGTTATTTAAATGAACATCTGCTTGCTTACATTTGCTGAGGATCTGTATGAGTTGCTCTTTTAACTTTTAATTTCAAAAATAAGGTCATTTCTGAGCACCTTAGCAGTTTTTGCTGTTTTCCTTCAGAGTGACAAATGGTCAGATTCTGTTTCGCATGAGCGGAGAAGGGAKCAGAAATTTCATGCTGCTTTATTTTGCAAAGGTTTTGTAATTACAATAATGAGCTTCAAAGGAATGCAAATTATAAAGGGATCCTGGGATGTTTACTTGAATGATTTGTTTGCCTCTTGAGCTCAAATGGTAAGTTATGAGCTTGTTTTCTTACACTGTGTATTATATAACCCCTAGAGGCAAACAGAGTTATATATTAGCCCACTAATTTTCTGTGGACCTTCTCTAAAGGTTGTGCAAGAACTGAGAAAGGAAATCAAGGCTGGAGTCAATTGCTTTATTTGGAATTTATTTGTTGGAGTTTATTACAGCAATATTTTTTTCCACTAAAAATTACTGATAAACTAGTTGTAATTTATGCTTTAACAGTCCCTTTGTAAAATGGTTTGCTATAATTTTTAATCCTACTATATTAGCTCTGGAGTAATTGTTAGGCAGTTTTTTACTAGAGCTTTAAACTATCCTTGTTCTTAGCAACATGGTGAATTTTGTGCTGTTACTTTTGTTTTTGTTATGTCCTCAACTTTGTTTCCACTGAGCCTTACGATGACTACGATCCTCAGACCAAGATGAAATGAACACACTTCTTCAATAATATGATCTGTTCCTACTTCTAAATTTGTACATACCATTATAAATTCTCACATCCTCTTGAGTAACACTGGCGTTTGCTCCCCAAACCACCAGCTTGTGGATAAGAGCTGGGTACTTCGCAGCTGCAATCAGTGCTGTAATGCCACCATCACTCCATCCCAGCAAAGAGAACTTCTTAAATTTGAGTGCCTTAATTGGTATAAGAAAGTCACATACAAATCATCAGCAATTTTTTTTAATCAACAAATATCAAATATTTCTTGAAAGCTATCTGTATGGATTCAAACACAACACTAAAAAAAAAAAAGAATTACCAGTAGCTTTCATAACTAGAAAACATAAATTCTCTGCTATGTAAAAAATGTTCAGAAAAAGGTCAATAATTAATGAAAATAAATTACATCCTCCCTCTTCCTTGGCTCTTCACTGAAACAGAAAGCAACCATTTAAAAGGCCCTATTGAAATTAGAACTTGTTTATTTACAGTGGAGACTGAAGACTTTTTCGCAAGGACATGATGGTGTGAAGAACTTCACAATTCTCTTGGTGTAAAGCTGGCAAAGATCTTTATAGTGTGGAATGGTATGTAATAGGAGACCAATATAAGCTTAAGAAAAAGATAGACTTCAGACTCTTAAAACAAAATACAGTGATCTAAATTACTGATATCATTTAGTGAAAATGTATCTGCACATGTCTGCACATCTACACAAATGTATCCCCAAAAACACACATTTTCTATGTGATTGTTTCAAATTTTAGGGTTTACTTCACAGGTGCTGATGCTTGCTTCCTTACTTATCATTGTTTATAAGTTGAAGTGTTAAACACTTTAAATGTTATTTCAGGTGAATTATGGTTCAAAATATTGATCCTGAAATACTTCCTTCTCTAAAAAGGAAGACTGTGAGCAAAGAAATACGGCAACCAAGACTTTCATTCATTCTTGCTTCATTCACACTTCTTTCCACTATAATTTGTTTTCTCATCTACAAAAAGCTGCTGTGGGGAGTAACAGCAAATGGACAGGGATGAGGATTTTGCATGTGTGCTGTTCAGTGGGCGGAGGGTGAGGAAGGGAAAGTGACTCAGATGCAGAAGCCTGAAGGCTGCCCACACACAGCATTCAGTGGCTGAACAGTTCTTGCAGGCTGCCGTACACAAGCCTTGGGTTCTGACTTCACTAACATCTACAGTAAGAAGGTTTCAGTGATTTTTTTTTTAGAGGCAGAGATTACATCCTTTGAGATGAGATTAAGGGAAATATTGTGCTTTTGGAGAAAAAGAGAAACAGTTGATTTAGTTGAATTTGTTCCTTGCTGTTCTGTTGCTGGAGTCAGTCTTGTTTTCTTCATACAGAAGGAAAAAAAAAGAAAAAGAAAAAAAGAAAAAAAAAACCCACACAGGTAATGAGAAAGAAAAGAACTGCAGAGAGATAAAGAGCAGCTTCTAGGAGCTGACTCTTGCTTATAAACCTGATGTTCAAGTGAGAAATAGCCTTATCAGTCAACTACAAACCTGGCAAGCTTGTACCACTATCGGGTTTTCTGCTTTTGTTTTTTCCCTTAATACTAGGCTTACTCCAGCTTTGCTCAAAATGAGATTTTACTGAGATAAGCCATAGTTAGCATACAGGGGGAAAAAACAAGTAGGAAAAAGAAAAGGACATACAAGGACAGAGCTGACAGCAAGAAAGAGTGCTTTGAGTTTTAGAAGCTCACAGGTTGGCCCTGGCTGCTGAAAGAGCAGTGCCCTGTAACCTCCTTTCAGGGGAAGGCCCTTGAAGGGTTACTGGTATCTCTGCAAGCTGCCGGAGTTGGCAGCCATCCTTGTAAAACTTTGAGTTTTGTTGTTGCTGCTGCTGCTGTTTTCCAACTGCCAAGAGCAAATTATGGAATTCAATGCTAGCTAATGGGCAGAACAGCCTATTAAAATTTTTGCCTAACCCTTCAGCTGAAATCTGTTCGCTTCCAGTTGCTTCTCCAGTTTGCTGCCATTATCTCAAGTCTTTGGGTTGTCTCAGTATGCCTTTCCAGCAAGAATAATTTTACTTTTTCTCTTTGGCCTTCCAAAAAACCATGAGATGTAACAAACRTGTTGGATGTGGTGAGCACACTTACTCGTTTGCTCGAATGTTGAACTATTCACAGGACAGGTCTCTGCCTAACATTGGCAACAGCCTGAGAGCTGATTACAACTCCCAATTCTGTGGGCAAATTCGCGCTGGCCCTACCCTGTAAATGAACAAAAGTCCTCTTAAAATCGCCTCTTCCATCCAAGCCTCTGTGAAATGCAGTCAAATGATCACGTAGGCTCTCACACACACATACAAAAATTTACAACCTTGAGCTATAACAGAACAGCACTCTGTACTACAAATTTCCATCGGCTCAGAGCAGGTGCGCCACAAATAACGGCTGCAACTGATCTCCAAAAATGTGGAGAGGCAGAAGCCCATCCTTTCAGTGGGGCAGTGGCTCTGAACAGCAAGAACTTCTTAAATGTCAACACTAATTACCCCCATAATAAGCATTTTAATGCTCTTGACCTTTCTTAATGTTGAGACACGGGGATGGAGTGTGGCAAAGCAGACTTAAAGCATCTACTTTTTTCCAGCTGAATTCATTGTTTGCATTTTGCTGCTGCTGCTGTTTCCAGTTGACTCTATCACAGAGCACATACAGTGCTGCAGAGCTCTGCTATCTGTATCAACCTGCTAAACACTCTGCAGAGTTTTAGCTTTCATTATTTCACAGAAGCTTCCAGCAGGCACAGCTCTGACAAAGAGGCCAAAGCCCAGAAGAGCCTAAATAAGGGCTCTGAAGGCTCAGCTATACAGAGGGGCTTAGCAGTATAGGTTGTGTAGATGTAAACCAACACACCACTGTAATGCCCTTGCATTAGGATAGTTGAGACGCAACATCACAGGAGTTAGGACTTTGTTTTAATCTGGAAATCCTAGATGTAATCATTCCTTACATTTTGTGCCTTTATATTTCAAGCTAAAATAGAAGCAAGTTACTCATGACTGCAAGCTACCCTTGCTTGGAAAGCCTGAAGTAACTTGTTATTATACATCTACATTAATAAACTTCTTTTAGAAAAGATGCAGTTACATATAATTTGGCAGCCAATAAATCTACTAAATTAGTAGATTAGTTTTGGCAACTTTTTCGCATTAATAAGCTGTTGTCCTGTTTTATTACAGACTACACGGCTGCATCTTTTTGGGGATGGCGTTGTTTTTTAATCTGCCTTCATTAGTATTTGAAAAGAGGCAGAAAAAGGGGTACAACTTTTTAAGACTGAAATGTTGTCACCTCTCTCTGGCAGCATGTTTATTTTCTGTATTACTATAGCAGAATAAATTGGTGATTCAGGAGACTATTTCCATGGTTAGAGAGCAAAACAGTATCTTTATCCTGATAGCTGTCAGACCTATTTTGTTTCACTATGCAGAACACTCCACAAAGGCTGCATTTTCAATTTCAAATGGTTCTACAAGGTTGCTGCTCATTTCAGAAATACACTTGGATTCACTGTCTGAATCTTGTCTCATATTTTTGGAATTTTAATGCTCTGCCAACTTTCTTAACATGGCCAGAGAACTGTATAGCATAAAATAAGAGAGCAAAGTATCAGTTGAAGTAAATGATTATAAAAATCAGACAAAAGAACACAGACTTGAATTGTAGAATCTATAAGAAGGCAGGATGATGACAACTTAAGACCATGTTCTTCACAATCACAATAGTTGTTTTAGTTATTAAGATCTGGTATGATTACAGGAATTCTTTGATTTCCTACGCAAGTTATTTTGGTAATAGGCCTTAAAGCTCAAAGTGTCAGCTTAGTTCCCAGGATCAATGTTTCAGATGAAATGGGCTGCTCTACTGCCAAGACTCCATTAGGTAGAATTTTTCTAAGAAGGCTTCACCACTGTAATCCCTGCAGTTAAGCCACTTAGCATAGGCTTTGTTTTTTCATACACGCTTTACCTACACTTTACAGGGGTCTTCACTGCAAACCTCTTAGGACAGGGTATTTTGGAGTCAAAATGTATTGCTTTATAACTGATTCCCACTGTTGAATTGTTGTATATTGGAAAACAGATGGACAAAGAAAATTTTCCAGAATAGTTTTTAAGCTCTCATTTGTATGTTCTTCCATGTAACTTGCTGTCTACTGGGAGTTATATATTTAACAGTACTGTTCCCTCCTCTTCAAAGTTTGAAGAAAAACAGGTTTTAGAAATATGTATGTTAATGATCAAATCTCAAAATAGATTTACCTGCATAAGATCTACAGCATCTTTTGCGTCCCTCTCAAAGAAATCTGGAGGAAAGTCTCGAGGTGGAGGGATGGATTGTCCATATCCCCGAGGATCCCAAGCAACAATTGTGAAAAGCTGCTTGTTCATAGACTTAAGCTGCGGTCCAAAATCGGTTTGACCACTCCCTGAAACATCATCATTTTTTCAGTTAAAGTAACCACTCTTATAAATATATAGCATATAGACAACTTATATCTTAATTCTAAAAAAAGATGCTATCTATCAACTGAAAAAATATTTTATCTCTGCATATTGCATCTTTCAACAAGGAAGTACCATAATAAAAAGCTTTAGGATATTTACAATACGCTTAAAGCAAACTAYTTCTATAAGGCCTGCAAAGCTTATCAACTGTTTTGCTCTGCACCAAAGCTGTAACACCGAATCAGTAACTCAGTTACCTGCAATCAAACAGAGTATTGATTTATCTTTAACACTCATAAAGCAGCAGGATGGCCAATGCTGCTCATCTGGACAGTACAGATTAAACTCAGCCTAATGGAAAGCTATTCTGCCAGCACAAAATTATGTTAAACGGGGCCAGAGTCAAAGTTTGGGTTAGGAAAATTGCTGAAAGATGGATTTAAACCTGAATTTTTGGTTGAGCAACCTAGAACAATTGCTTCCTTCCTGGTGCAAGAGGAGGAATATCCTAACTTTAGCTAAGAAGTTTATGGTCCATAGGTAAAAAGCATTGTATGATACAGAGTTTCTTATTGATAAAAAGCTTTAACAAGACAATTGATATTTAAATTGAAGTTTCAATGTTTTATCGACCAAGGAGACAATGGTGACACGAAAGCACAAAATAGTAACATCTTGTTTTTTCTAATATGTAAGTTACCAAATATAAGTCAAATACAGCATTTGTTTTTCTCTGCTTCAGAACTGTTTCCTTTATTAATGGCTCACACTTTCAAAAGATGAAGAAAGGAACTGCTCCAGTCTGGAAAATGCTATTGCTCTGAGCTGTCTATGAACACTAGCACGAAGGCAAAAAGACTACAATTCTCATTTGGATTATGTTCATGTGTTAACAGTATCAATACTGTTGTGAATAAAAACGTTCAGCTCTAGTATATCGCATTACAATAATACAAATCAAATATGAAAGTGCCTATGCATAATTATGTTATCAAGCCTGTTTAAGGCCATTTATGGTTTGTACTTGGAGGATCATGTCCCCAGGTATCTCCTGCTCTCTCATCAGCTGGTCCGTATGACAAACGAGGCTCTATATAGCATGTCCATACAGCATGATGAGCTGACTGCAACCTGACTGCAGCCCTTCTCCCTTGCAACACCAATCAACAGCTATAGTCAGAGACAAAATAGCAGGTTGTTTGAAAAATAGCAATGCAGCATGATTTAGAATAATCACGCATCTCTAAACAGGCTTTATATGACTTCTTCACTACGCTGCACATGCCTGTTATGCTAGGTATTTTGGAACCTAAAAAAATCCTCAAAATGAAAAGCATATCCAGATGCTGTGTTTTTTTGGCTTACTTAGTACTTCTCCATTTAGGAAGAAAAATATCATTTTATTTTACCATATGCTATTAATAGTCTGGAGACCGACTAATTCCACTGACCTAAGAGCACTTACCTTGTTAGCAGCACACTTATTTATTAATATTGTAAGTAGTATTTAATAATACTAAAAACTCAAGATTCAAAAGGAGAACAGAATTGATGGTCTGTTGGTTGGTGGTTTGTTGCCCAAAAATCTGAGGCTACAGTTAATAATGGTAAAGATACTAAGTCTTAACTATTACTGTTTGTAATAATGCTAACTGAGCAAATGCAGTGTATTACCTCAGAACAGCAGATGTCCTATTGACATCTTGGTATGAATGGCTATTAAGTTTGAGTGGTTGTGTAGTACTGAATGTACTGCAAGAATCCAGAAGAAAACCATGGGTTAATTTTCAAAGGTTGTTATCAAAAGCAGTAGTCTCATCGGCCAGATATCACACCGTTAGCAGAAACTGTTTTCCATCTCTAAAAGCCACTGAGAATTTTAATGATATTCCCATGAACGAGCAAAACGTGAGAACACATTTTAAATCAAAAAGCCAGTCTCATCTCTGTCTTTTTCATTATGGGCCCAGACTGCAAGCACTGCATTACTACTATTAATTTCACTGGAATGCGCCTCCTTTCTAAAAAGGAAAGCAGCCTTCAGCCTGTGTGATAAATACAGCTCACCTGATTAGGTAACCAGTACGATTAGGTACGAGGTGCTTGGGGAGACACTTATAACCTTTAAAAAACAGATTTCTGGTTACCATAACTCTGCCTTAATTTATCTTTCACGTGGACCATTCCTCTTAATGATAATGCTTCATGGTCAGGTGTTAAACATTTTATCAAATAGTTTTGTGTATACTAGCTTGGGAGCAGACAGGGCACAAGAGGTAGTTGCTCTATCAAGAAAAGACAAACCCTCCTCACCTAGCATGCCAGGAAGCAGAAGAACTGCATGGTTTCCTTCTCCTGTCTGCTGATAATGCAGGTGGACTCCATTCACTTGGATTTTGGCAGATGTTGTCATAGTACTGGGGATACAAGAATGGGAGAGAGAGAGAAAAAAAAAAGCAAAACATTCAGCGAAATGTCTTACCACTACATGCTCATTCAAGAAATATAAAATGATTATTTTTTCTAAATATGAAGGACTATACAGCGAAACTTCTCTGTGTCATTTGCCCTTTCATGAAAGCTCTGAAGTGGAAATAAAAACACGACTGGGGCAGAGAAGTATTCAGTATATCACCTCTATGTAACTTTCATACCTAGTTTCACAAAGGCAGCTAAATGGCTTAAGCCGAGGGGGACGTGACTGTACAACCACGCAAACATAAAAGCAGCTTAAATGCCTGCAGAAATATGTTGAATCTAGAGTATGAGAGGCTAAGCCTCATTCTGTCACAGAGTAACTTTCAGAATGGCTGTTCACCTTGTTATTAATAAACTGAACCTCACCATCTGCCAAAGAAACTGCAACCTATTGTTGCAGCTGCTAATGAACCAGAGGGTCTGCATGAAAAACACTGTGCACTGAGATGGGGCTGCAGGGGTGGCAGAAGAATGTGACAATAATCATTATGTGACTGCAGCCTCTGCAGGGGGTAATGGCTAACTGGAAAACACCACCTGACAAAAATACCCCGAAGAAGCAGGCTAAGTGGAAAAATGTAAACTATCATGGTTACAGAAACTGACACAGGGGACAACATCCTCCCTTAAACATGGAAACTCACCTTGCACTACAACATATGACCTATTTGTAAATGCAAATAATTAACCTGTGGATCTATTTATAGACACAGACTCCTAGGGAGAACACAGAAGTAGCATATGTTGATATGCAACCAGTGCAAATGATTGCACCAGGACTCCAGTTAAGTCTGTGGCCTAATAGTTGCGGGGGATCTTTTTACCAGGCTAACTCATTTTGTCTAAAGGTGGCAATATGAGTTTTGCCAACTGACTGCCAAACAGCTAAGCTCTCTTTGCTGCACTTCTGTTTACCTAGATTAAATATTCTTGCTCCACTGAATTCATTCAAGTACAGTAAAGCATGGAGTAATGGTCTCGCCCATGTAGAGATCAATATCTAGGATTTAAAAGAAAAACAAAACAACAACAAACAAAACACTTAAATCGTTCTCATGAGGCAGTTGAAACAACAGTCTGTGAGCTCAGGTTCCCACCAGCTCCTAACACTGGCAGATTGAACAGCAGAACGTGCTCAAGGTAAAGCCACTTGGATTTCACATAAAACCCTGGTCTACACAGCACATCGAATAATGCCACATACTAAATCATGGCTGTGATTTTGCAGAATAGGATCAGCTCTTTCCACCTGTGCAGATTCAACTGGAATACTGGAGCCCAAGTGCAGAGCTGTAGTTCAGGAATGAGTACAGGCCAGGCATCAAAGAAAGCCAATGTGCCATTAAAACTCCTGTGACTTTTGCTGAATTGTTACAGCAAAGCGATCCCAGTGATTATTCTGGCTGTATTCTTTAACTTATTTTAAGTACATTCCTCAMAGCTCATGCAGCTATGTACTTCAATGCTTCATAAATTCTGAATGTAGCTTTCAAATATACTTTCTCATCCTCTTTTTTAAAGCATCTGATGGTTCTGCTTTTTCTCTATAAAAGGAAATTATGTTTTCCCAGGACACCATCTTTTAGTTTGCTCTCATTGCAACAGGTTATTTTATCACAGTTCTTATTATTGCAGTTAAGCAACTCAGTTTTATGCTTCTGATGAAAAGCAAAAGCATGACCAGTTCTGAACAAAATGGAAATTACCATCATCCTGCTACCTTTCTATAGAGTTAAACACAGTGTACTTTTCATAGGCAAGAGAAGTATATTCTGCTTTCCTGATCCAGATGGTATTTTTTTTCCCTTCCATGGCTCACCTTTTTTTTCTAAGATTAATTATTAACATCATGGGCTCAAGAATTTGCGGAGTTTGTCCTGCTTCTCTGTTCTTGGATTACATCCAAGTGTAAAGTCTGAAGAAATAACAGCGTTCCATGTATTATTCAATTTTCAATACTTTCTACATTAGGAACAAATAAGTTGCTGTTTATATGTGCTGAGAAGCTGTACTGAAAATAGCTCTCCCAATTGCAGATTTGGTTCCAGCCACACCAAATTTCTATGGATGCAAAACCTCTTCAACGTGATAGTTACCACAAAGACTGCATTTTTCACTCTTTGGCAGAGCCACGTGTGCAGCAATGCCATTTGAGCTGTTTGTAGCGGTGGCGGCAGGGTTATGGTTTACACGGTGCCTCTATTCACCAAGGCAGTCGGATACAGCGTGCGCAGGTGCAGAGGGTGTTAAACCTCGTGCAGTGCCTGCCTGGGAGTCCACGCTTCACCTCCAGGTCCCGAAAAGAGTGCAACTTCACATGTGAACTATGTTTCTCTTTCAGCTCTGTTACAAAAATCAAACTAATCTTCATCTGTGTAAGAGACATCACGGTATAATCCCTGCTTTACTTAGCAGAATCTGCCTAACAATATTATTATTAAACCGATAACAAGGGGCCTTGCAACAACCCAACGCAGGAGAAAGCCACCAGCTTGGAGACAGCTCTTCTCCCCCTAAACMATTTCTCTCCGCTGCGGATGCGAACCCGGCGCCCCAGAGCACGGCCCGGCCCCCCGCCTGCGCCAGGACACCCTGCCCAGCCGCCCCCATCGCGGCGGCGCCGGCCGCGCTTTCTTTACCCGTAGGAGGCGGCGGCTACGCGCCACGGCAGCGGCGCGGCCCGCAGCAGCGCGCGGCCCGCAACCCGCCGAACCATGTTGCCGGGCCGGGCTCCGCCTCCCCCTTCCCCTCCTCCCCAGCCGCTGCGCTCGGGCGCTCGGCCCCGCAGGGCTTTGGGCCGCCGGGGCTCTGCAGCCCGCCAGGCACCTGGGCGCGTCCTTGCCGGGACGCGGGGCGGCCCCGCGCCCCCGGGGTGCCCGTGCGGGGAGCACAGGCGCCCGGGCCCCTTCTTGTGCCTAGGAGGGGGCGGAGGCCACAGCCCCAGCGCAGCTCAGCCCAAGGGGGCTGCTCAGGGCCCAAGGSGGGGTTTCTTCTCAGCAGTGCGCGCAGCCACGGCTCATGCGCAGCACCCATAGCAAGCTCAGGAGCGCCCAGCTGTCACCGCAGTGAGGCAGCCCCAGCGCTTCGCTTCGCTCCCTGCCAGCCGTCCCTCGCCGAGGCGGCAGCGAGGCCCGGCACTGCGGTGGGATGGCGGCGGCTACACGTGGTGAAGTGAAGGTGCTGGCTACGTGGGGTATGGCGCAGGGCGCCTCTGGAATGGGCTCCACGTCGCCCCCTGGGTGCAGAGAAGCACCGAGAGCGGAGCAGGCGGCTCCCGTGCCCAGGGCGCCAGCCGCCGAGAAGCCTCCTCGGGGCACGGACACCCCCGCGCGGAGGTGACAGCCGCAACCGCCCCAACGGCCGCGCGGTGCCGCCCCTCCCTGCTGCGCACGCGCAGGACCGCAACGGCAGCAGCGCGAAGGCGGAACCCTCCCCTCCTCCCTGCACGCTCTGATTGGCGGCTACGCGTGTCACTCAGGGCAGGGCGACCGTTGCTGAGGGCGGGGAGCGGCGGCCCCGCCCTGCGTCCCGCCTCTCGGCGGCGGCCGTTGGCGCATGGGCTGCCGTGGAGGGAGCCGGGGGCAGGGGCGGCTGGGGCGAGAAGAGGGATCCCCCGTTCTTCTTGCCCCCCATCTGTTTTTACCCACACTCAGAGAAAAGGGGTTTCTGTGAGGGCCCCTTCTGTCCGCAGTGACCTGTGCAGGCCAGGTTAGGGTGGGGTGCTGCTTCCGCAGCCACACCTGGCTCCACCACCCGGTGGGCATGGAAGACATTTTAACTGTCAAAGGCCAAATGTGTGTGCAGAAACACACAAGCACAAGGACAGCCAGCTTGCAGTGCTGTGCACTGGGGTGCTCTGCRAGTTCCTTGTTCTGAAATGCAGAGAAAGGAGAGCTCCAGGTTAAGTAGTGCAGACAGCATCATAGACGTTTTGAAGACGTCACACTGTGCAACATGTACGCAAACAAGCATCTTCAGTAAAGTATAGAAAGCAGGAAGTGTTTCAGAGAACACGTAGTGACATACAGCTGGATATCTGACAGGCAGTTCCAACAGACAGCAAAAGTTTCCACATGACTTCATGGGTCAGCATGTGTTAATTCGGGAACGAGGAGGAAGCAGGCTAGAGAGCTCATGAGAATGATGACAAACAAGCCTCAAAACGTCAGTATGAGCCTCTGTGGAAGTTCCCGTGCTGCTAGTGATCTATGTTTTAGACCTATCTGGAATTCTTTGAAGCCCTTAACTTCCAAGGAAACCCTGCTCTGAGAGTTTAGGTCCTTTTTCAGGGGCACTGTGTTTACTGAGATGCAGCTCCTCTCTCAGGCTGTCATTGTGCTGCAGGAAAGCAAGCCTTCCTGTGAGGGAAGCTGGGTGAGCCACACGGCATAGGTTGTGCTTCTCTCTCCTCTCACCCACCCCACAGTGAAATGTGGCCCTGTGAGTGGCCCTCCAAGCCTTGCCCAGCATAGTCCTGCCAGCTGTGCTGACACCAAGGGGCAACCCGCACACTCCTGGCCTCTTTTCTGCCTTTGCCTTCTTTGGGCAGCATTTAGTTCAGCAAACGATCCTTTGGAGTTGAACCCCCCCCAAATTCCAATTGTAAGCCCAAGCCACTCAGGCTTTACTCCTGCTTGCAGGCTTTGCCACTATGTGAAGGTCTTTCTAAATGGCAGCACACCCCCCTGGTGCATCGGCCATTCCTCACACTTTTGTATCCTCAGGAAACGTGCCAAGGACGCACTCTGCCTTGTCCCTTCTTCCAGGTCATTGATGATCCATGTCAAAGTTTAAAAGGATTGGACCAACTACTGGTCCCTGGGGGCACCGCTAGCTACAGGCCTCCAACTAGATTCTGCACAGTTGATCCATATCTCAGTCCACCTCACTCTCCACTCATCTAACCCACGCTTCCTGAGCTTGCCTATGAAGATATTATGGAAGACAGTGTCAAAAGCCTTGCTGAAGTCTCCCTTGCAAGGGAGACAATATCAAGTGCTCTCATCTACCTGGCCAGTCATTCCATCATAGAAGTCTATCAGATTGCTTAAGCATGATTTCTCCTTGGTGAATCCGTGCTGTCTGCTCCTGTTCACCTTCTGGCCCTCCACATGCTTAGAGATGGCATTCAGGATAAGCTGTTCCATCACCTTTCCAGGGATGGAGGTGACGCTGACTGGCCTGTAGTTGCCTGGGTCCGTCTTCTTGYCTTTCTTGAAGATGGGAGTGGCATTTGCATTTCCAGTCCTCAGGAGCCTTTTCTGTTCTCTATGGTCTTTCAAAGATGATGGAGAGTGGCTCAGCAAAAACATCCGCTGGTTTTCGCAGCACTGAGTTCAGCCCATGGATCTGTAGGTGTCAGGTTTGCCTCAATTATCTGTAACATGGTCCTCCTCAACCAAGGGCAAGTCTTCCTTTCTYTAGATTTCCTCTCGTATCTTCCAGGGGGCTGCTCCCCTGGAAGGCCATCAGTAAAGCCTGAAAGCCTGAAGCTTTACCTCAGTAAACCCTCAAGGTGCATTCAGTATCTCTACCTTGTGTCTTTGGTAACCAGGGCATCCACCCTAYTCAGCAGCAGGCCCCTGTTTTCTCTACTCTTCCTTTTGCTACTGATGTATTTGAAGAAGCACCTCTTGTCCTTGAGATCCTCTGCCAGAATTATTCCAAATGTGCCTTGACCTTCCTTGTCATATCCCTGCATACTCTGATGATACTCCTGTATTCCTCCCAAGTGGCCTGTCCCCTTTTCTACATTCTGTATACTTCTTCTCTTTGAATTTTGCCAGGAGTTCCTTGCTCATCCATGCAGGTCTTGTACCCCTTTTGCTTGACTTCTTACTCACTGGGATGTCCCGATCTTGAGTGTGGAGGAAGTGATGCTTGAATATTGACCAGCCCTCTTGGACACTCCCTTCCTTCTAGGGCCCTAACCCATAGCATTCCTCCAAGTAGGTCTCTGAAGAGGCCAAAGGTTTCCCTCCTAAGGTTGAGATCCTATTTATTGCCYTGCTTTCTCTCAGTAGGACCCTTCATCTCATGGTCACCGCAGACAAGGCTGCTCCCACCTTTCACATCTCCAACCAGTTGTCTTTATTGGTTAGTACCAGGTCCAGCAGCACACCTCTCCTCCACCACCTGTGTCAAAAAGTCATCATCAATGTTCTGCAGGAGCCTCTGGGATAGTTTGTGCTTAGCTGTGCTGTCTTTCCAGCAGATACTAGGCTGGTTGAAGTACCTTATTAGAACCAGGCCCTGTGACCATGAGGCTCCTTCCAGCTGCTGTAGAAGGCCTCCTTGCCCTCCTCTTCCTGGTCAGGAGGCCTGCAGTAAACACATACAGCAGTGTCACTCCTGTTGGCCTGCCCTTTATTCCTCACCCACAGGCTCTCAGCTTGCACTTTGTCCACCCCCATGCCTGCCCTTTAATCCCTACCCATAAGTTCTCCACTCGCTCTTCAACCACACATAGGCACAGCTTCATACTGCCCAGCTGCTCTCTCACAAAAAGTGCAACTCCCCCACCTCAGCTTCCTGGCTTGCCTTTCCTTAAGCACACAGCCATCCATGACAACATTCCAGTCCCCATGGGTGAGCTATCCCACCATGTCCCTGCATCTGCAATGAGATCATGGCCCTCCGACTGCTCATGAATCTTCAATTCTTCCTGTTATTCTGCGCCCTGTGTGTGCTGGTGTACAGGCACTCCATGGAGGCCATCGAGCCGGCAGGGTTCCCGGGAAGAGTGCAAGAAAACTTTCCATGTCCTGTACACTCATCCCCAGCTGCATGCACCTGCTGGAGGCATCGTGGCTTGAGCAATGGCACACTGACTGCCCTGTTCCTGCAACTCTCCTCTTGCCTAGCTTAAAGCCCTCCTAACTAGGCTGTCCTGATGGCACTGACATGCGTGCCTGATTTAACTGAGGTGGCTTCCATCTCTCCCCATTAGTTGTCAGACTCCCCTCCAGTGTTGATTTCTTGGGTAAAATGGGGAAGCCTGTAAGTTAGTGTAAGACTTCTGCAGTACTAAAAGTTCTGTAGATTTTAAGGCGAGAGGAGGGCACTGGCTCATGTCACTGGGCTTCCTACACCCCACCAGCTTTTCCAATTCACCCAGTCGACCCTGTACTGRGACCTACAATCTTGCCTTTGACTGAATCAGTCTGCTACCCAAGAAGGTTTCTCTCATCAGGAGCTAGCAGGAAGTTTTGGACATTTCTAAGTCAAAGCAATAAGGCAACATGATAACTTCTCAGAAATGCACAAATGTTACTGTGGCAAATACTTACACAGCCCAGGTTCAACAAAAAGAGAAGCATGGGTTTGCCTGGATCAACAATATATAAATGCTGTAGTACTTGGGGAGGGATGACACACCCTTCACACCAATTCCTGCTGAAGTCTCCAATTTTGGATCATCATTTCTATCACTGCCTTATGCTAAGTAGCTGTAAAGCTAACCCAAGTTTGTTGGTATTCGTGATGATCCCACTTCCATTCTGCTTTCAATAAAATGGTGGCTGCTCTATCAAAGAGCAGAAATACCTTGAGACTACACTGTTATTAAACTGTTCATTTTCTGACTTCAACCAGAATTTAATGAACACACATGGCTTGTTCTAGAGCCAAAGATTTCCTGGCAGCATTTATCAGTTTCACTGAAGTAAGAAGTCTTGTCTTCACAGGTTCAGCTTGGCATAATGGTTCTTTAGGYATAAAACAGAACAATTCTTCCTTTGTAGAATCTGCACACTAAAATTTTGTCAATACTTGTAGCTAAAGCAGTGGCAGGAACACTCCCAGGCACTGGACATGATCATCTAAAGGTTGGACTAGATGATCTCTAGAGGTCCCTTCCAACCTTGAATATTCTGTGATTCTGTGATCTACGCTATGGTGTTCCCCAGCACAACTCTGGCACTGTGTAATAGCCCTGAGTCAAATGATTCCTGAGCATGCTGCCATTAAAATATGTTTTCCTGGAGGTCGGGTGCTGCATTCCAGTTAATTTAGTGCCCAGAAGCATTTCCAGGCTCATGTAATTTCCTAGTGTAAGTGCAGTCTAAGAGATTTCAGCATTTTTTAAGTTCCTGTTCTCAGCCTGAGTAGTATATGGAATAAAACACTTTTCCTCCTTCCCAAAGGTTATATATTCCAAAGTTTTTACTAGGGATTGCATAGTGATTGAATTTCTTTTTCAGCATTTCATAAAGCAGACCAGAGATTTATCATGCCAAATCTCTAACAAGCAATGTCAAATCTAATGCAAGATTAATGGATTAATGTATCCTGTGCAAAATAAGCATTCTTGTTAATTATGCCTCTAATAAGCACTGTAAAAAGACTTTTAAAATAGGATCTTATCAGCCTAAAACAATTTGGTCTAGTATGCTTTTCAGTATTGCCACTTAGACCAAATCAAGAGTTAACTTTACTTTCTGCCCAAGGCTTTCAAAAAGTGAGGCAGCCTTTGGCATTTTCTTATGGCTATGTTAGCTTGGCTGAAACAAGAGGCTTTTGTTCAGAACTGAACTGAGCCCCTGCTCAGAAGACAGAAGTCTAAAAATGTTGTATAAAAAAAGCAGACATTCTCCTTGACTCGACAACACTYCAAAATCGTGCTGCGGTTGTCATCTTAGTGCAATCATTTTAATCAGCAGGAAAATGCCTGTTTTCTTTTACCGCTTGGAAGACCTACTTATCTGGACATAAATACTTTGAGTTTTTGGAGSTCTTCACTGAAAACTATTTGGTAGAAAAATACGCTCCAAAAAGAAAGAGCCATCCAAGTCAGTGAAGCTCCAGAAAGTCTGTTCATAAATGTTATTTCCTATGGAAACGAGACAGGAAAAATGCCTTCCTTTTCCACTGGTTCTCACTCAGCCTGCTCTTCATTCATTTGCATTAGACTAGTAAGGAGATCCAGTCTTCGGCAGCCAAACAGGGCTTTGGCAAGTTTTCCGATCGTGGCGCCTTTGGAGCCTTCCCTCATTTCCCACTTAAGCAGCATTTGGTAAACTTTCTCTTTCAGTCCGTCCCGTTCGTAGTCATGATCGATTTCATCAATTTCTGGATCACAAAAGCCCAGTTTACGAGCACAGTGTTTCCACTGTTTAGCCAGCTTTTCTCTCACTAGATTCAGGTGCTTCTGAGAGAGGACAGTATTATTGTCTGCAAAAAGAAAAAAAGAAGTGTAAGAAAACACCATTGCTTAAGACTCCCTCTACTCCCCTCACTATACAATCATAGAATCCTTACGGTTGGARGAGATCTTCAAGATGAAATCCAGCAATAAGCCCTCAATATAGACCGTCTTAAACCACGTCCTTAAGTGCCTCATCTACACGTTTCTTGAACACTGCCAGGGAGGGTGACTCCACCACTTCCCCGGGCAGCCTGYTCCAATGCTTGACAGTTGTCCCAGCTATGAAGGGAGCTTTTCTCCCTACCCAGTTAAARGCAGAATTACAGATTCTCATCATGATTTAAGTTAGAGAATCACARAATCATAGCTTCCCTGGGCAGCCTGTTCCAATGATTGACTACACTTTTCTTGYAGAAATTCTTCCTAATGCCTAACCTGAACCTCCCCTGGTGCAACTCRAGGCCATTTCCTCTTGTCCTATTCATAGTTATTCTGGAGAAGAGAATGACCCCCATCTCACTACAACCTCCTTTCAGGTAGTTGTASAGAGCAATAAAGTTCCCCCTGAGCCTCCTCTTCTCCACACTAAATAACCCCAGCTCCCTCAGCCGCTCCTCCTAAGGTCTGGGCTCCAGCCCCTTCACCAGCTTCGTTGCCCTTGTCCTTCTCGTAGTGAACACAGCATTCCAGGTGTGGCCTCACCAGTGCTGAGTACAGGGGGATGGTCACTTCCCTGGTCTTGCTGGCTACACTGTTCCTTCTTGGCCACCTGGGCCCACTGCTGATGTTCAGCCAGCTGTTGACCAACATCCCCACATTCTTTATCTGCCGTGCAGCTCTCCAACCACTCTGTCCAAAGCCTGTAGCGCTGCATGGGGTTGTTGGGACCAAAGTGAAGGATCTGGCCCTTGGCCTTGTTGAACCTCATGCAGTTGGGCTCAGCCCATTGATCCAGCCTGTCCAGATCCCTCTGGAGAGCCTTCTTATTCTCAAGCAGATCAACTCTTCCTCCCAGCTTGGTGCTATCTATAAATTTGCTGAGGGTGCCCTCAATCCCCTCATATAGATAACTGATATTAAAGAAAGATATTAAACAGGACTGTCCCCAGCACTGACCCCTGGGCAACACTGTTTGTGACCTCTAGTTGTTGCACACATGCTGTGTGATCACCCTCAAGATGATCTGCTCCATAACTTTCCCTGATACCAAGGTCAGGCTGACAGGCCTGTAGTTGCCTGGATCCTCTTCTTGTATATGGTTGTTACCCTGGCCAGTCTCCAGTCATCTGGCACCTCCCCTGTTGACCAGGACTGTGGATAGATGACAGAGAGTGGCTTGGCAAGCACTTCCACCAGCTCCTTCAGAACCCTCAGGTGGATCCCATCTGACCCCATAGACTTGTGTGTGTCCAAGTGAAGTAGCAAGTCTGCCCTCTGGAAGTCCAATGCAGATATTTTGCTGACACTCCTCCTGACTTCACCATGAATTGAAAACACTATCATTTTGTGGTCACTATGCCCAAGACAGCTTCCAATCACTACATCTCCCACCAGTCCTTCTCTGTTGCCAAAGAGCAGGTCCAGCGGGGCTTCTCCCCCGACAGGYTGCCTTTCCAGCTGTGATAGGAAGCTATCTTCCACATGCTCCATGAGGCTCCTAGGAAGTTTCCTTTCTGCCTTATTGCATTTCCAACAAACATCTGGTAGGCTGAATCTCCCACAAGAACAAAGGCTGCTGATCCTGAGACTTCTGCCAGCTGCTTGGAGTGTGCCTTKTATGTCTCTTCATCCTTGTTGGGTGGCCTATAGCAGACTCCCAGCAGCATACGAGCCTTGTTGGCCTTCCTCCTGATCCTGACCCATAAGCACTCAGCTTTTCCGATACCCGCTCGGAGCTCCATGCATTCGAAGGACTCCCTAACACAGTGCTACTCCACCTCCTTTTCTTCCTTGACTGTCCCTTCTGAAGAGCCTGCAGTTGTCCATCGCAGCACTCCAGTCATGAGAGTGGTCCCATCACGTTTCAGTGCTGACCACTAAGTCATAGCTTTCCTGATACACCGTGGCCTCCAGCTCCTCCTGTTTGTTGCCCATCCTGTGTGCATTGGTGTAGATGCACTTTAGCTGGGCTACTGAGCTCTCCCCCAACCCCGGCATGCTGCTCCTAGGCTTATCCTTAGTGATGCTGGTTTCATCCCCTTTCCCCTTCATATCTAGTTTAAGCCCTCGCAATGAGTCCCACCAAGTCCAAGGATTGAAGAGCAAGGATTCCTTCCCCCYGAAAGACAGATGAAACCCATCTGTCACCAGAAAGCCCAGTGCCGTACAGACGGCCCCATGGTCCAAAACCCCCAAATTCGACCGCTGACACCAGCCTCACAGCTATGTGTTGAGCAGGTGGCTTTTCCTGTTCCTCTCACCGTCCTTCTCTGACGCTGAGAGGACAGAGGAGACCACCATCTGTGCTCCCGCTCCCTTAACCAATCTTCCCAATGCCTGAAGTCCCTTTTGATGGACTTCAGACTTCTCTTGACAACTTCATCGCCACCAACTTGGAAAAGCAACAGTGAGTAATAGTCACAGGGCTGTAAAAGACATGGTAGCCTTTTTGCAATGTCTGTTATCCAGGCTCCATGATGACAAAAGACCTCTCTGTGAGAAGGGCTAAGTCGGCAAACTGGGCCCTCTCTTCCCCTCACAAGGAAGTCGCCAACAACTACCCTTCTTTCCCTTTCAGTGGAGGCAGTCTTATGGCGTGGCCTTGACTGCCTTGCTCTAGACAACCCCATAGATGGACCTTCGTCTGTGCCCTCATCTGACTCTCCCTTGAGTTCCAGGGCCTCATACCTGTTGTGTATGGACACCCGGGGAGGGGAAGGGGCCAGGAGGAAACTCTCTTGACACATCGAGTGGGAATCTGTTCCCATTCCTCATTTCCTAACTCTGCACCCTCTGCTGTACAGCAAGAGGGTAGGGGATCCTCAGCTGGTTTGGGAGTGTTCCCCTGGTGCATTTCTTGAGATGACTGCCGGGTGTGACTCCACCAATCTATCTCTTTCTCACTTTCTGATGCACTTTCTAATTTTGGTAGCCTTTCTACCTCTTCCTCCAGTGCCACTACCAGGCTAAACAGTTCATCTACCTGTTCATGTCTAATGAGCWGATGTTGGCTCTGCTACCCCCCCCAAACATTGGGAAGCTCAGACACTCTAGACTACCAAAGACCCCGGCCGCTGCATGGACACGTGGCATCTCAATCTGGCACCTCAGCCTGTGTCCCCGCAGTCTTCCTGGTGCTGGCTTTCTGCCCAGCAGACACTGTGGCTCTGGCTGCTTCCTCACTGAGGTGATGGCYGTGGGGAGGGCTCTCCTGCTGCGCGGGGAGCAGACCTGCTGCCTGCCTGCCCGCACACACTGCCTGCGCCGCCGGCCGCATTGTGCCCCGAGCGCCGCCAACGGCTGCCAAC